CGGGGTTTCACCATGTTGACCAGGATGGTCTCGATCTCTTGACCTCGTGATCCACCCGCCTCGGCCTCCCAAAGTGCTGGGATTACAGGCTTGAGCCACCGTGCCCGGCCTTAAAATATATTTTTAAAGAATACCTAACACTCCTACTTGTCTTTTTCAACCCTTTCTCTCATCTTGTGTCGCTCATGTCAGATCAAATGAAGGATACTGTCTAGAAATAGGTTATGGGAAATAATACATTCATCGCTCTCAGTTTGTTCCTGTCATTCCATCGCCATTGTTTTCTACCACACCTTTCTTTTCTTACTCATTTGCGCTTGTCTAAACTCCAGGAGTTCTTGTTACGGATATTTTACCTGGGATGTATTTCGATGCTACAGTTCTTTTCTGTGTTCTCTTTTTGTTTATAGGGTGACAGCTGCCCATTCCGTCACTGTGAAGCTGCATTAGGAAATGAAACTGTTTGCACATTATGGCAAGAAGGGCGCTGTTTTCGACAGGTGTGCAGGTTTCGCCACATGGAGATTGATGTAAGTTTTTTATTTCTGTTATAATAAGTAGCTTAGGGTCATGGTGGACCAATAAAAAATATAGGTACAAAAGTGACTTTAAAAAAAATATATTAGGCCGGGCGCAGTGGCTCATGCCTGTAATCCCATCACTTTGGGAGGCCGAGGTGGGCAAATTATGAGGTCAGGAGTTTGAGACCAGCCTGACTAACATGGTGAAACCCCTTCTCTACTAAAAATACAAGAATTAGCCAGGCGTGGTCATGTGTGCCTGTAATCCCAGCTACTCAGGAGGCTGAGGCAGGAGAATCGCTTGAACATGGAGGTGGAGGTTGTATATATACAGCAATGAGCTATAATCCCAGCCTCCCAAAGTGCTGGAGTACAGATGTGAGCCGCCGTGTCCGGCGAATGGTATTTTTGTTGTGTATGATCCTGTGGCACACAGTTTTAATTTTCTCATTACTGGTCATGTTAACTTTGATCACTTGATTAAGATGGTATCTGCCAGATTGCTTCATTATAAAGGTTTTCTTTTTATAATTAAGAAATATTTTGTGGAGAGGTACTTTTAGATCCTTTACTCCACTTTTCATCAAACTTCAACTTTTTCTTAGTTATTTATGTGAATTATTGCAAACTTGTGGTGTTGTGGTTTGGCTCTGCATCCCCACCCCAATCTCATCTCGATTGTAATCCCCATGTGTTAAGGGAGGGAGTTGGTGGGAGGTGATCGGATCATGGGAGCAGCTTCCCCCATCCTGTTCTTGTGATAGTGAGTGAATTCTCCCAAGATCTGATGGTTTAAAAGTATGGCAGTCCCTTTGCTTGTGCTCTCCTGCTGCTGTGTAAGACTTGTTTGTGCCTTGCATCCTCTGTAAGTTTCCTGAGGCCTCCCCAGCCATGCAGAACTGTGAGTTAGTGTAACCTTTTTTCTTTATAAATCATTCAGTCTCAGGTAGTTCTTCATAGCAGTGTGAAAATAGACTAATATATGTGGTTTTCTATTTTAATCAGTGTGTCGTACTCTGTTACTTTCATTACTGATTTTTTATGCTCAAGTTGACCCAGATTCGGCTAGTAGGAGCCTTTCAAGCTGATTTTTGTGTCCTTTTGATGCTTTACATCTTTCTTTGAGCATCTCTGCTTTTTAGCCTGACAGGATTCTCCAGGCTCATCCAGTACCTTTCTTACTTCAGCCCTGGATTCAGCCATTGATCCAAGATACCCTGGTTTCTTTTAGTGAAGAATGGTATATAGAGGTTAAGATTTGGGTTGCTCCTAGAGTTTCATCACTTTCAGGTCCTCTCAGTGGAAGGAGCTAAGGAATATATAAATGTATACACTTACAGACATTTACATCATTATGTATTTAACAATAGATACATAGTGTTAGAAATTATGGATTCATATAGAGGCATCCAGTTCATCAATACCACAGGCCTTAGTCTAGACTTCTCCTTTTTCATACTTGTAACTCTTCTCCAGAAGTGAAAAACTTGGTTTCCATTGTTCATAATAGTTTTATTTATTTAATCAGTCTCCTAGTAGAAAAACTAATATTGTGTCACAGACCCTTCCTTCCTCTCAGGCCCTGACATGACACACGAAGCTTCGCCACAGGGATACCTTTCTCACCATGTTTCAGCTCTAGTACCCTGTGCTAAGCCTCCTTTCTTGCTTAACCATAGGAGCCTTTTCCTCACCCTTCTTGGACTCCAGCATCCTACTTTTGACCCCCAACCCTATCCCTATAATGGATACTGTTTTCACATCCTTGGGCTGTGATACTTTGTGCTGGGCAGCCCTCCCATGTGAGATGCTGTCCTGATCCTGCTCACATACTCCAACTCTACTCCCTTGGGAGCACCCTGCCTTCCTCACCCCACTTTGTCTTTGTTGCCCATTCTAGGCTGACCCTACGTAAGTATATCTTCTTCATCCTGCATTGGGATCTCTTCTGCACAAAACATTGCTAACCCTGCTGAGGCTCAGCACTTGTCAGGGTACCCTCTCATGCACATGTCCTCAACCCTCCATGGGTTCCAACACCCTATGCCAGTTCTACACAGTCATGTGGTTGCCTTCCTCATCTCAGTCAGGCTTCAATTCCCTGCTCTGGGCCACCATGTCCTTTCCTCCTCCAGTGTGAATGCCTGCCTCCCTCAGCACCATCTGATGACTTTGCACTGAATTGTTAGGGCAAGACTAAATGCAGTTCATATGCCTGGGGTCAGCTACTCCAATCTGGCTTCAGCTTTCTTGTCTCTTAACTACATTCTAAGCTACCTATCTTGCAAATAGCCGCAAATATCCAATTGATAAAGGAGTACTCTGCAACTTTTATGTTTTATCTTATGAGAAATCATATTATAACATTGTTAGTGGAGTGTGTATATTGGCAAAACACCTATGAAGGGTATGTCAGTGTCTCCAGGAGCACCTCTTTATTTAGAGATTCTCTAGCATGTACCCAGAGTTGAGATATATTACGGCAATAGAGTAAGGATTCACTGTCAGATCATAAAAGAAAAAGATACAGGAAGAGTCTGGAAGAATCCATGTGCCGGTTTTTTTTTTTGTTTTTTTTTTTTTTTTTTGAGACGGAGTTTCACTCATGTTACCCAGGCTGGAGTGCAATGGCACGATTTCGGCTCACTGCAACCTCCGCCTCCTGGGTTCAGGCAATTCTCCTGCCTCAGCCTCCTGAGTAGCTGGGATTACAGGCACGCGCCACCATGCCCAGCTAATTTTTTGTATTTTTAGTAGAGACGGGGTTTCACCGTGTTGACCAGGATGGTCTCGATCTCTTGACCTCGTGATCCACCCGCCTCGGCCTCCCAAAGTGCTGGGATTACAGGCTTGAGCCACCGCGCCCGGCCCATGTGCCTGTTTTTTTATGCTCACTCCCTTTAGGGGTGACAAAGAGCACACACTTCTCCCAGTGCTGAAAATGCAGCAGTGCATATATGGTGTTTCTGCCCAGGGAAATCCATTAGAGTTTCAGCATTCAGAATTTTCATTGGTGCTGGCCATGTAGGCACCCTTTACCAAACATGTGCCCAAATTCTAGACTCCCAGAAGGAAGGCAGATGTTCAGCATTAACCATAGTGTTTGCACAAACAGTCTAGGCATACTGAGCCTTTTCCCTTCTCCACTTCCAATTAACTTAGTAGGAGTGTTATAAAAGCCAGTTCCCAGAGGCTAGCTAAGAGCAAGCCTTGCAAGCAGGTGTTTCTAAGCATAGTAGTCTCAGAGCTACTATGTTAACTCTTTTTTGCACAGAGGCTTATTGGCTGTATTGCTTGAAAGAACTAAATGCTTATATTTTTTACATATATGTATTCACCTGCAAAATAAGATGTGTGCAGAATTACTTATTGTAATTTGTAATAGTAAAATATTGGAAATAACCTAACTGTCCTTCATTTAAAATAAAGCTTTGCTGCATTCATACAGTGTAGTGCTGGGCAGCTGTTAATAAAAATTTTAAAGGGGAAACTAATTTATTGATATGGAAATAATCAGGGTATATTGCCAAGTGAAAAATGTAAGGTGAGGAGCAAGGTGTGTTAAAAAAGGAGAGACAAGCCGGGCACAGTGGCTCACTTCTGTAATCCCAATACTTTGGGAGGCTGAGGCAGGTGGATCACCTAAGGTCAGGAGTTTCAGACCAATTGGCCAGCACAGACCCTGTGTCTACTAAAAATATAAAAATTAGCCGGCCGGGCGTGGTGGCTCACGCCTGTAATCCCAGCACTTTGGGAGGCTGAGGTGGGTGGATCACGAGGTCAAGAGATCGAGACCATCCTGGTCAACATGGTGAAACCCCGTCTCTGCTAAAAATACAAAAAATTAGCTGGGCATGGTGGCGCGTGCCTGTAATCCCAGCTACTCAGGAGGCTGAGGCAGAAGAATTGCTTGAACCCAGGAGGCGGAGGTTGCGGTGAGCAGAGATCACGCCAAGCCGAGATCGCACCGAGCAGAAAGCGCCCCATTAAAAACAAAACAGGGAAAAAGGAGAGAGACTCCATCTCAAAAAAAAAAAAAAAGGAGAGGGAAAATAATTTGTATTTGTTTTTCACTTGCATATGAATTTTTTTTTTTAGTTATTGAGATGGAGTCTCACCCAGGCTGGAGTGCAGTGGGCACGATCTTGGCTCGCTGTAACCTTTGGCTGTTTCAAGCCATTCTCCTGCCTCGGCCTCCCAAGTAGCTGGGATTACAGGTGCCAGCCATCATGCCCAGCTAATTTTTGTATTTTTAGTAGAGATGAGGTTTCACAGTGTGGGCCAGGCTTGTCTCGAAGCCCTGACCTCGTGATCCGTCCGCCTCAGCCTCCCAAAGTGCCAGGATTACAGGTGTGAGCCACCGCTCCTGGCCTGCATATGAATTTTTTAAATCTCTGAAAGTATAAAGGTGAATTTCCTTCTTTTTTTGAGACAGAGTCTCGCTCTGTTGCCCAGGCTGGAGTGCAATGGCACAGTCTCAGCTCACTGCAACCTCCGCCTCCCGGGTTCGAGCAGTTCTCCCTCAGCCTCACAAGTAGTTGGGATTACAGGCGCCCGCCACTACGCCCAGTTAATTTTTATATTTTTAGTAGAGATGGGGTTTTGAATTTCTGATCTCAGTTGATCCACCCACCTCGGCCTCCCAAAGTGCTGGGATTACAGGTGTGAGCCACTGAGTCCAGCTAAAGATGAAACTTAACAACAGTAGCTATGGGAAAGTGACAGGGATGAGAAGGAGTCTTTTTACTGTGTACCCCTTCTGTTGCAGTTCATTTTCATTATTCATGGGTTCCATATTTGTGAATTTGCCTGCTTACTAAAATTTATAACCCCCAAATCAGTACCTGGTCATTTGCAGACATGTTCAGAGCAGCAAAAAATTTGAGTCATCTGACGTGTCATGTTGATTGACAAATTGAGTCACATTTCCAGGCAAGGTAGAACAGAGCTCTCTCTGCCTTCTTGTTTCACATCTGATACTGTAAACAAGTATCCTTTTCATGGTCTGTTTAGTGCCACGTTTTTTCCATTTTTGTGCTTTTGGTTGGTGGTGGTGCTGCTAAAATGGCTCCCACGTGTATTGCTGAAATACTTTATAGTATTCCCGAGTAGAAGAAGGCTATGATATGTCTTATAGAGAAAAGAGATTGTTAGATAAGCCTTGTTCAGGTGTGAGTTGCAGTGTTGTTGGTCTTGAGTTTCAGATTAACGAGTTAACAATATCAGACACCCAAAACCAAAGTTGTGTATTGATTAGTTGATGAAAATGTGACCAGAGGCTCACTGCAACCCAACTCTATTTCCCTTAGGGAAAATGTTTTAGTATTTACTAACTCAGTGTTCCTGGTGACTTTATAGAACATAACTACTGCAAACAATGAGAGTCAACTGTTTTATCTTTGGATCATATGCTGTATTACTATTAAAAATGTCAAGACATAGTTAACGTAGGAGAAATATTCCTGTGGAGGATTTTTTTTTTTTTTTTTTTTTTGAGACAGGGTCTTACTCTGTTGCCCAGGCTGGAGTGCAGTGGTGCAGTCTTGGCTCTCTGCAACCTCTGCCTTCTGGGTTCAGGTGATTCTCCTATCTCAGCCTCTTGGGTAGCTGGGACTGCAAGTGGCCGCCACTACAACCAGCTAATTTTTGTAATTTTTAGTAGAGATGGGGTTTTACCATATTGGTCAGGCTGGTCTTGAACTCCTGACCTCACGTGATCTGTGCACCTCAGCCTGCCAAAGTACTGGGATTACAGGCATGGAGCCAGTGTGCCCGGCATGTAAAGGATGTTACTTAGGAAAAAGGTACAGAATTATATAGAATACCTTTCTTTTTAGTATGGATATAGTCACTTGTGATTTTTTTTTTTTTACAAGTAAAAAGAATTCATACCAAAATAAGTGATTCTCTTTGAGTAATAGCATAATTAGCATTTATTTCCGTTTTCCAAGTTGTCTTCATTACACATATATTACTTTTCAATTAGAAACAAAATCTAGTTAGTGTATTAAACAGATCAAATAAATTTCATGTGACTTCTGTATATAGAAGATACTGTTACAGAAATCATTCAGCAATTTGAAAATTGCTTCTGGGAAAGATGTAGAAATTTAAGCAAAGGTGGGCTTAGCAACAAGGAAGATTAGCATTAGGTTCTGCCTTGAGAAACGAAGACTTTGAATAATTGTTGTTATTCCTGTCTAAAAAACAGTGATAACTATTACATCTACCTTTTGGGTATGACACAGGACTAATAATTTCTGTCTAGTTCTTTGAAAGGTAACAATATTTGGCATTTGCTGTACTTTTATTTTTACTTACTTAATTTGTATATTTATTTTTGATGCTTCTTGTGGAGCAGGGCTGCTCTATAGATGATGTTCCCAGAGTAGCCTGTACTTTTAAAAAATATTAATAGGTAATTATGCATATGACATAAACTTAGAACATACTTTTAAAAAATTGTTTTTGCGAAATCACCTTTAGAGATGTGGAGCTAGTTTACATTTCTATTATGTGTTTGAGACTGTCTGATTGTTCCACATCCCTAAAAACAGTGTATAATTGAATTTTATCAGTCTCTCAATGTAGTAGATTTTGGCCTTTGATACATTTGATACATTTAAGCGTCTTTTTGTAATGGTCATTGTTTCTTTTTCTCTTCTCCATGTTCTAAAATTTCTGAAGTAATGCTGGTGTTTTTTCCTGGAATTTTAAACCTTACGCTGTTTATTATGAATAGAGATTCGACATAATGAAGTTCATCAGAGGTTACTTTTTGGAAGTGCTTCTCATATATTTTCTCCCTTTTTTGAACTATTAAAATGTATACAGAAAAGTGCACAAATCATAATCTTACAACCTGAAGAATTTTCACAAAGTGAACATGCTTATTTGATCAGCACTAGTTCAAGAAATAGAGTATTGGCCAGGTGGTGGCTCACACCTGTAATCCAAGCACTTCGGAGGCCAAGGCGGACGGATCACCTGAGGTTGGGAGTTCAAGACCAGCCTGACCAACATGGTGAAACCCCGTCTTTAAAAAAAAAAAAAAGAAATAGAGTATTAGCAGTAATCTAACTTCCCCTTCATTCGCTCATTAATAACCACATCCCCAAAGCTGATCACCATCCCAACTACTCTACCATGGAGAAGTTTCGACTGTTTTGATCTTTTCATAAACAGAATCACGTGGTATGCACTCTTGTGTCTGGCTTCTTCATTCTACGGCATTGAGTATAGCAGTGATTTATACCTTCTTATTACTAGATGACATTCTGTTGTATGAATACTTTATGGTTCCTTTTTTTTTTCCCTCCTGTCACTTACTGGAGTGCAGTGGCACAATCTTGTTTCACTGCAACCTCTGTCTCCTGGGTTCAAATGATTCTCATGACTCAGCCTCCCAAGTAGCTGGAATTACAGGTGCCCGCCACCATACCTGGCTAATTTTTGTCTTTTTATTAGAGACAGGGTTTCACCATGTTGGCCAGGCTGGTCTTGAACTCTTGACCTTAGGTGATCCGCCCACCTCAGCCTCCCAAAGTGCCGGGATTACAGGCGTGAGCCACTGCACCCGGCACTTAGTTTCTTTATCTGTTCTAGTATTGATGTACATGTGGGTTTGCAAAATTATAGAGCTATTGAAAATAATATTGTTGTGAACATTGCTTATACACATCTTTTGGAGAACTAATGTGTATGTTTTCTTGGACATACATCTTATGATGCAGCAGTTTATTCTAGATGCACAGGTGTTTTTTTTTTTTCCTCCCAATTTTCCTTTATAAAAGTGAGGTGACTTGAGAAGGTTACGTCACATCCTCAAGTATGTTGTTATTTGTGCGTTACTTTGAGAATTCATGAATGGGAAAAATTTTCTCAAAGCCTTGAACTCTCAGCTTCAAGTAGTAACTGCAGTGTGTTGAGTTTGGCCTATGTGCTTAGTGCTTTATATACATTATTTTTATATAATCTTCATAAGAAACCAGTTATTCCCGTTTTATCACTAAGGAAAGTGAGGATTAGAGGCATAAATTGTCCAAAGCCACCTGGCCAATAAGTAGCATAATAGAGATTCAAACCCTGTTATCTTTGATTTCATAAACTACTATGTCATCCTGCTGCTCTCAATTAACTAGATATTTTAGGGGTTCCAGGATGAGGGTAAAAAAGGGAAGAATAACACATAAACTGCTCTCCTGCTCCTTTCATCTCTCCATCATGCCTCAAGTTATGTTATTTTCAGCAACCTCTCTTCCTTCTAAAAATCATCTCACATGCCTCGGATTTTTGAACCCTGTATGAACTTTGTTTAGAAAACAAATTACCTGTGCTCGCTTCGGCAGCACGTATACTAAAATTGGAATGATACAGAGAAGATTAGCATGGCCCTTGTGCAAGGATAACACGAAAATTCGTTGAAGCGTTCCATATTTTATATATAAAAAAAAAAGTTACCACATTAATACATGTATCACTTTTTTATTTGAAAATCATGTGTTTTTCCCTCTTACAGAAAAAACGCAGTGAAATTCCTTGTTATTGGGAAAATCAGCCAACGGGATGTCAAAAATTAAACTGCGCTTTTCATCACAATAGAGGACGATATGTTGATGGCCTTTTCCTACCTCCCAGCAAAAGTGAGATCAGTTTTTAATTTTAAAAGAACACTATCAAATAGATACTTATTATGCACCCTGTACAACAGTACTTTTTAGACATTGGCTTCTTTCAGTCTTGTGAGATAGCAGAATTATTTCCACTTTACAGATGAGTGAACTGAATCTTATTGAGGCTAAATGATATATCCATGACTGTAGAACCAGTATATCTTGGCATGCCATTTAAGTTACTATGGTTACTTCATTTCTCATGTTCTTTTTTTTTTTTTTTTTGAGACAGAGTTTCGCTGTTGTTACCCAGGCTGGAGTGCAATGGTGTGATCTCAGCTCACCGCAATCTCCGCCTCCTGGGTTCAAGCAATTCTCCTGCCTCAGCCTCCTGAGTATCTGGGATTACAGGCACGCGCCACCATGCCCCGCTAATTTTTTGTATTTTTAGTAGAGACGGGGTTTCACCATGTTGACCAGGATGGTCTCGATCTCTTGACCTCGTGATCCACCCGCCTCGGCCTCCTAAAGTGCTGGGATTATAGGCGTGAGCCACTGTGCCCAGCCTATTTCTCATGTTCTTATCAGACCCATAAACCTTTTTCAAAATAAATTTGATTTTCTAGGCCAAAGATTGGCAAAACTGGTCCTCTGCCTATTTTGTAAAATAAAGTTTTGTTGGAATGCAGCCTTGCCCATTCATTTACATATTTTCTATTACCAGTTTTGTGCTAGTGCTGTAGAACTGAGTAGTTGAGACAGAAACCATATGGCCCACAAAGCCTAAAATATTAATTGTCTGGCTCTTTACAGAAAATATTTGCCAACCCTACTCTGTAGATTATAATCTAAAATAAAACTAAAAAGCTAGTAGTTATTCCCAAAGTCCTTTTTAAAGTAATTTAAAGTGGAATTAGCCATTTAAAAGCCCCATTTGCTATGCGATTAAAATTTGATGGCTACATCTTTTCGCCTCAGTTTAAGGGAAAAAGGTAGACATATTTCTTTCTGGTTTGGTTCAAATAAGTGTGAGTGCTTTGTCTTAGAAGCTACTTCTAGGCCGGGCGCGGTGGCTCAAGCCTGTAATCCCAGCACTTTGGGAGGCCGAGGCGGGTGGATCACGAGGTCAAGAGATCGAGACCATCCTGGTCAACATGGTGAAACCCCGTCTCT